TTTAGCTTGTTAACTAAATATTTAATTTGTAAGTTAAATATTTAGTTTATAAACTGTGACATTTATAAATGTATGAATCATATGGTGAAAAACTGACTGAAAAATAATTCTGTTCTTTTTTTCTTATAAAAGGCTAAATAAAACAAAAATATTGGTGGTAAGTTTTGACTGTGTATAACTTTACAAATGGCACCCCATAGCATTGTCCTGAAATGTGAATCCATGCAAGTTTGCAAATTTACTTCCTGTTTACTACAGCCATGTGTAACATCTGACATAATTACACATTGTGTAGCCTGGTTTATTTGCTCCAAGCCAGTTGATGGAAACACGTCTGATGCGCATTTCTTTTTTCGCAACATTTTAAAAGTTCTCTCAAAATGCGCATTAAAGCTGGATGGAAACACGGCTAAATTGTGACTGACCTTTGACTCTTTCACTGAAAGAAATAGTTTCAAACCTACAAAAAAATTCACACTTTTTTTGTCAGTGCAGTTTTTCTTTCACCAGACATGCATCACAAGACAATTATTAAAGGAACACTGCATAAAACTGAGAATAATACAAAACAGATGTTGCCATGCATGAATGCTCTTATACTGTATATACACACATGTACATCACTTACACAGATGCTTACATAACCCAGAACATTTCCAGTTACACACAAACAGATGCTTTGATAGATGTAAGCTCCCATCTTTCCATCATTTTACTTCCTGTGCCCCCTTCATCCTGTTCAGGGGTGCATACTGGTGTCTGTTTGCAGCAGTGAATGGAAGAGGCAGGGTACCCCCCTGGACAAGTCTGAGCCAGCACAGAAACAAAACACAGACCTCAGCTGAGTACTGAGTTCTTTACATCTATGTCAATTCAAAAGTCAATGCAGCCACTTTACATACACAGTTCATTTTACTGATAGTGCTCAGAAAGTTTTGAGGCTGGCTAATTAGTCTTTTTGATGGAATGTTTTGGCTTCTAACGGCACTTACATTGTTGTATTGATTCAGCTTCATAAGGGGTTTAATTTTTCCAGGAGTGCTCCTTATGACTCACAGTAAAGCCCAGTTAAGGAGCCATTAAAGTTTCCATGCAACTCTTTTCCACATTATATGTTGCTTCCAAGAACAGATGCAACAGAAAACCAAATTTATTATCCATTCATCCATTATCTGTACCCGCTTTTTCCTTTCCAGGTCGGCGGGGTCACTGGTGTTCATGTCTAGTAGAGACTGTGCACCCTGGACAGACGCAAGTCGCATAGAGACACATAGAGACAAACTCCTTTCACTTTGTGACTCACCTAGAGAACATTTAGAGTTCCTGATTAGCTTAACGTGATTGGTTTAAGTCTGTGGGAGGACGAGCTCAGAGAAAACCCACACATGCATGGAGAGAACATGCAAACTGTCCTCAGAAAGGCTGAAACACGAGAGTGTTTCTTATCTATTGTTTGTCTTCTGAGTAAAAACGGTTGATCCCGTATCTTTCATCTGCCCTCTCCTATCACTTCAGGTTCTGCCGTTCGATGACAACGTGTGTTTACGGGAGCCCTGCCAGAACTACATGAAGTGCATCTCAGTGCTGCGCTTCAACAGCTCTGCCCCCTTCATTTCTTCACCTTCCATCCTGTTCCGGCCAATTCACCCCATCGCGGGCCTGCGCTGCCGGTGCCCGGTGGGCTTCACAGGCGATTACTGCGAGACGGAGATCAACCTGTGCTACTCCAACCCCTGCCTGAACGGAGGGGTGTGTGCCCGCAGGGAAGGAGGCTACACGTGCATCTGCCGTGAAGACTACACCGGTGAGAGTGACAGGAAGTGTGCAAAGACGTATACACACTCATCTTTGTACGAGTGGTGTAGATTGAAGAGTTGGTGACAGTGATGTCAAATGAGCAATTATCACTTAACACAATTTCCATATTGGATTTTTTTTATTTATTTATAGTCAAATATGCCAAATCTAACTAAAAATACTGATATTACATTTCAGTTTAGTTGTCTATTTGTATAAATTATAACTTGTAGAGATATGAGACTCTGTCAGATTTTCTCTTAATTTTTTTACCTTTAAATGTGATTTCTTTATTACACCAAGCTTTTTATGCCTATAAGATGATGTATGTGCAGTCTCTTACACCTTAAGTTTTATATCCAAATCTAATCAATCAGTTCCATTAGTTTTCTCCGTAAAGACTTTCTTTTGATAAATGGTCAGAGAGCCCAACTTTTAAAGAAATAAAAGTGCTGAACGAGCAGTAAGACCAGCAGAATGGACAAAAGCATAAAAGGTTAGTAATGTATATGAGAGATGAGTCACAAGGGTGAGGTAATTTAGAGACAAGACACATGTTGCTAAAAAGAGCCAAAGAACGGACACTAAAACCATGAATCAGAAGCAGGACCTTAAAAACAGAAACCTCTTAATGACACGGATATAAAAAAAGTTTAATTAAACGAGCAGCATGATGTCAGTAAATCTTCAAAAGAATCAAATGAAATTTGAATTCTCCTATTAAACTTGTAAACATCAACTGAAGGCCATAACAAAATAACCAGATTGTACTGCCTACATGTAACATTCAGTCCTTGTTGTCTTTTTATTTTTTATTTTTTGTAACATTATTGGATCAAACAAATTGACCGAATAAAGAAAAAGGCAGTTTTAAAGAGCAACATGTGCGTTTACTGTACTTTAACTCCACCCTGGTGAACCAAAACTGCCTCTTTGTTCACAGCCTGTACTGATTTCCCCTTTTTGATCATTTCTGTTTTGTCTCTTTAGTCGTGCTGAGCTAAACAATTCAAACAGACACACTCTGTCTCTTGGGAGAGTTTCCTCCTCCTGAACAGCCTTTTACACACAAACATTCAAACACACACACCTACCTGAGTCACCATAGCCCTTCACTTTTTTCTTTTTTTAAATTTTTTTATTTATTTGTTTCCCCACTTGTACACACTAATGCAAACTCTTCATTCTTTCTTACCTTTCCCAATCCACCAGGCTCGTTTTAGTCCTCTTTCCTGTCTCTTCATATCGCCGCATTGCCTCCGACGCTGACTTGTTATAGCAGAATATAGATGCTACGAATGGCAGTTCGTGTGAGTGTTTGTGAGTCTGGGGGATATTTCACGTTGCTTTTTATTTTGGATTAGAAAAGAGCTGGGGGAGTGAAGCAGCACTTTCCCTTTCATGGGTGAAAGAGAGTGTTTTTGAAACTCCCACTGAGACAGACAAAAAGAGATGAGCCGAGAGATAGGAAATCAGCAGAGAATGATGGTGAAGTGAAAGAGAGATGGAAGGAGTCAGAAAAGCTGAAGAAATGGAGAGAAACCTGAGAGGCCGTGAGAAGCATTTGGCGGAAGGAGGTAATAAAATCTTAAACAGGAAGGAAATGCATGAAAGTGAGTTTTAAGATTATTGGATTTACTGGTGAAATAATGATTAATGAAGTGAGAGCACTGTGATTTTTTTCTCCTTTTTTTGCTCATTATTCCACAAAAGTTGGATGACTCTGTGGGATACATCCACTAGAAGAAGATTTTTTTTTATTTTGAAATACTACACAGTTCATGAGTGATAGGATACAGGCAAAATAATATCAGTTTCTTTGTGTTCTAAACTGCATATTTGTGGTCTGACAATGATTGTGAAGATTTAACTTTATCATAGGGCTGTGCTTTAAGTTTGTAAATATTAACAAATCAGAGCCTTAAAGGAGAAAAATAGAACATTAAAAAAAGACAGTACTTCAAAATACAAATTTCAAAAAAAAAAATCGTGTAAGCCAGAGGCGGAGCCAGAGGTGTGGCCATGGTGGCACCTGATTGGCCACCCCAGGTGCCACCCCTAAATAACTGACAAGTGGGGATCCTTGATTTTGTATTTGCATTTAGACTTTGAGATTTTTCTCTGATACAATTGTGCTTTATAAATTTTCAGGCATGTATCTTTAAAAATGACTAAATTATAGCCCTTTGTAAAATTAACATTAGCATTAGTGGTTGGCTTAATTCGGGATTAGCATTAGCATCTAGCATATGATCATTCTTAGCCACTCCACAACAAATATATTCTCAATAAATTTTAAAATGGCTGAGTTATAATAACCTTTTAACATTAGCTGTGGTGGCCATATTTTCATTTATTTATTTATTTATTTATTTATTGTCATTGAGAATTTGGTAAAAACAGTGTAAGAAAATTCGTATTCAATAAACTGAAGTTGATATTAAAAACACAATTGTTAAATAAAATGATTTGTAGAAGGAATTAAGCCATACAAAACCAGAATTCTCGATCTGCATGAGGTTTATTGTCACTCAAGCTGTCAGGAAACCAACACTACAGGAAAAACAGGAAGTTCGTGTATTTATACACTTTCTTCAATGCCTGCGTTCGCCCCCTACTGACCTACGGCTGAATCGCAGGCATTCAGACAAAATCCTCAGCTAATGTCATCACAACGTTTGATTATGTGTTGTCACATATTTCGGACATGTAACTGAACTTATTTCAATCAAAGCATAATAGATTAAACACTGTCAACATTACAAAAAGGAAAACCTAAGAATATAGTGTTGTGCTTTTAACATCAGTACTAACCTCTAATAACTTTAAATTTCTTCAACGGTGTTGAGCTACTTCTACACTAATCTTCAGCTTTGCATGCTTAAATATAGCTGAATAATAAACTGTGACTAGCTATTTGGATCATTATTAGCTATGTTCACACAACATTTCAGCTTAGTATTTCTTAAAGCAGCTGAATTAAAGCCTTTTGAAATTAACTGTGGCAGTCATCTTGAACTTTAAAATGCTTTTTTTTTATATTTGCATGTGCCCCTGCTAAAACAACCCCAACTTAGAAGAAATAGTCTGGCTCTACCTCTGTTATAAAAGATAAAACTAGATGGATTGAAGGGCAGGGCTGGAAAACACTGAGGGAGAAAATAGAGGAAGATATGAGATGGTATCTGATATGGTTTGGAGGGAGATGGGTGAGTTGAGTGGGAATAATATAGAGATGAAGCTGCGAGGGGAAATGGAGTGAGGGGATGGAGGATGAGAGGTTGGAAAGAAAAGGGTAAATCAGACGGGGTCTGGACTGCTGTTGTTGTGCTCTTCCTGCGTGGGCGTCGAGAGTTGTAGTGTCTCGTCAACGCCGCGGGGCAAGTGGAAGGAAAAAGGAGAAGGATGACGAGGAAAACTCAGGGACGAATTGATTCTGCAACACACAGAAACCTCCGGACATCTCATAACTGAGCTGTCTTTTTTCCTTCGTTCCTTTTCCAGTGCAGCCTGCCCTTATCCGCCTCTGATATGTTCTTTGTGGCTTTGAATTGGTTTTCCCTTAAACTCTATGGATCTCTCTCACAGACAGGAACTAATCCTGCCCGGGTTTTTACAAGAAACTATTTTTCTGCTCAGGTCGTAACAGTTTTTCCACTCAAAAACACAATAGCTCTCCAGGAAATCTAAATCAGGTTTGATCTGTGAACAACTGTGCTGATATTTTACTGGAGCTGAAATAAGACAAAGTACACCTTGAACAATAGAAGGGAGAAGATTTTCCACCAAAAACATTTAACTCTGGTTTAACTAAGCTTTGGCTCTTTTTAATAGGGTTAACGATAGTGGTGTCCCAATACAGATACCACTATCCAAATCGAGTCAGATACCAGCATTTTTACAAGTACTTGTACTCGTTCAAAATGCCCCAGTACACAGAACTGATACCTATAATAACCTCAATGCTCATTTGAATAGGTTAGTTTCTCAGTTCCATGCTAATGAAACATATAAAAGTTAAAAGAAAATCTTATATGCTGTTTTAGTTATTTTAAAAAGATTTAAACAGTACTGTATACTGTATATTGGAGAGCCACCTTGTTATAAATAAAACAAATGAGTTTTTAAAGTCATTGTGTAATGTTAAGGTTCTAACTCAATAAGTACTCGGTATTGGCAAATGCCCATGCTGAAGTACTCATAGGCTACTTGGTTTTATTAAAACTGGTATTGGGACACTCCTATCGCTGGTGTTTGGCTGTGAGACGGCCATTTCAAACATGAATTCTACATTTCTGGTGCCTCTTGTGGACAAATAGATTTAATAATAAGTGTGCAACATTACATCTGTGGGAACCAAAAGTAAAATCCCCAAAGACAGTCAAGAGTTTGAGTTAAAACTTTTATGTGTTGTTTAAGTTCTTATGTACTTCAGAAGGTTTTTGTGTTTTTTTCATGCGTAACTTTAATAATAATAAAAGATTTGACCAGGAGCAGCTCACTTGTACTTACAGTAAACCTGTTCATATCTTTAAGTGCCTTAGAGAAATTAGACACAAAATAAGAAAACAAAATAAAAATGTATTAAAATCATTACATTTTGCTGTCAGAAACATTCAGTATGTTGCATTTTCTCTCGCACTGATATATTTTGTACATCTTAAGCTTTTGCACATTCCTTGTGACCCGACATTTGCAAACTTAAATAATTCATTTAAGAGGGAACGAAACAGCTGCTGTGGTATTTTATATTAGTAAATGAAAGCCACGGAGGATTTCTGATGCCTTAGGAGCAATCTGACTCGCTGTTTTTAATCCCACCACTTAGTCAGTTGTGTGTTCGGGCAATTAGAAGAATTTCCTGTGAATCAAAGTGCATGATAAACTAACATTTGTAGTTTAAGATTAAAACTGATGTTTTAGTTTATACAGTGAACATTGAGATTAGGAATGTTTGGCTACTAAAAGATGAAAATGAGAGAAAAAAGATTTCATAAATACAAATTT